TAAACACCACTGTCAGTATACACATATAAGGTAAAACAGAAGTGGTCCTCAGCAGTGTTTACGGTGTGGCAGCAGCGCCCTCTAGTGTCGGGCCGCAGTATGAGCCTCCTCCTGATTGGCTGAGCGGTTGTCAGGACTGTTTACAGGAAACATGGCTTCTCGGTCTGTTGGAGAGCTTCAAGAAATGGAAGGTGAGTAAATATCTAAAGACGCAGCCGAGACTACATTGTATAGGCTAAGTCAACCGGTATCTATATAGAGAAACATGTCTACTTTTATATGAGCACATCCGGCGATTTGTTTTTCTTGTTACTAACCAGACCATCATCCTTAGCTTGCTAGCTAACAGGCTAACAACAACCCTCGCTAGCTGACGCTGTTCAGTTAACGTCAACTCATGCTGTCCTGCTAATACACATCTAATATCACTTTATATAGCCGCCTTGTCTCGTCCAATGGCCTGAAGCTGGATTTCATGTCCAACCTTGCTCGTCCGCCCCTATCCGTTAACGTGTCTCCCATTTTATCTCGTAAACGGGACGCAATTAGAGCTACCCTGCTAGTTAGCACGGTTAGTGTTTAGCCTGAGTGTTAATGCAAGAGAGCTAACCTTAGCATGCGAGTTGTCTCCAACCTGGTTAGATTGCTCATACAAGCAGGGTTACATCAACAGCACTTAAAACTAGCCGATTTAATTAGGTGGTAGGTGTCGTCACGATTTTGCACGCATGTTTTCGCAATTGCCACACGTAGCAGGGAGCAGACACACGGTGTAGTTAACATCCATGGTTTAGTAAACCCACACAGAGGCTGGATGCTCCACATGACATCCCCCTGACTCCCCAGTGGGCGAGGTGGAGCTGGGCCTAGTCGTTGCATCATATTACATGTGCTGTCTGCTAAGTGTGTCACTGATGCATAATCAGACAACAGCTCTGACTCTGTGATGGTGAAATTAAGCTTGTCTTTATCTGCTGACTGTAGTGGACCGGAGGGGAGAGTCTGAGGAGTCTGGTGATGATGAGACCAGGAGGAGGAGTATCAATGGCGATGTGGACCCCAATCAGCCCACTACAACAAGTAAATCATCCCACCTCCGGCACAGCCAGGGATACAGTTCAGGCTGTCAGCTGTGATATAATTTCAACAGGAATAATCACAAGTGTGACACTTGGTGTACCTAAATGACAGCTAACTAAGCTTTTTGTGTCTATATCGTGTTTATTAATACCCTACCTTGATGCAGTGGCTGTATTAGTTTATCTGATGTACTCTCACTCTCATTAAAGGTAAAGAAGAGTCTCCTGTTGACATGGACACCATAACCTTGGACCCAGAGGAAGAGGTTAGAAGATGGTCTAAAAACTCTACAGCTGTTTGTCTGCAGCTCATGTCACAAAGTTTATGTTGTAGTGCTTTTTAGTAGTTTAGTTCAGTTACTTTTTAAAAGACTTAAGTTGTGTTTTGGGGAGTGGAAGTAGTGGAAGTTATTTAATTTCCTTTCGGATAAATGTTTCACCTCTGCAACTGTATAATCTCTGTTAAGTCCATGTGTGGGCTGGGCACGTCTGTGTGTACATGACACAATAAACCTTAACAACTACTCACATTACTTACAGACAGTATGTCATCCTAAGCTGTCTGTTTTCTTTCTAGGATGTTGATCTTGTTCATTGTCGCATTGGGAAGATTGAAGGATTGGAGGTGCTACAGAAGGCTAAAGTAAGTGACAGCAGGATTTAGTGCCACCAGTTGTGAGGTGATGAAGTGGTAAATGGTGGCAGCGGGTTACATTCTGGTGTTATTCCTTTGTTTTTTATTTTTTTTCATTACCAGGCAAACTAAACAGAATGTGTCTTCTTTTTTTTTACACCTAGCAAAAAAAGAAGGATTTAATAATAATTATATATTAATAATTCAATAATAAAATACCACTATTGATTGTATCTTTTAATTGCTTTTTCCATATCTATTTCTTTGCAGACACTCTCCTTACGACAGAATCTCATTAAAAAGATAGAAAACCTTGACAGTTTGACCTCACTGCGAGAACTAGATCTCTATGACAATCAGATCCGTAAACTGGAGAACCTGCACCAACTCACAGAGCTGGAGTAAGTCTGAAGAAAACAGTAGGCTTTGTCTCTATTGTGACCATATATTATAGTGATTCCTTGCAAAGAGGGCAAAAGTCAAGTTATTTTTTGGCAAATCCGATTTCTACACGCTAATATAATGTGATTATACTATTTATGTAGCTGACATTATAGAAAAATACATCTCAAATATAATTAATTCTAATGAGCATATTTGACTGATCCACAGGCAGCTGGACATGTCCTTCAACATGCTGAGGAAGGTGGAGGGTTTGGAGCAGTTGACTCAGTTGAAGAAACTTTTCCTGCTTCACAACAAAATTAGCAGCATTTCCAACCTGGAACACTTCACAGGCCTGGAGATGCTGGAGCTGGGCTCTAATCGAATCCGGGTATGACATGAAGGGTCTCTTGGGCAGTGAGAAATGGCAAATCAATACTACAAATATAAAAAAATGCTTTGTCAAAATGAGAGTGTGAAATATTAATGCTGTGCTTATTTGTTTCTCTTTCATTTTGTTTTGTTCTCAGGTCATAGAGAACCTGGATACACTTTCGTCTTTGCAAAGTTTGTTTCTTGGCACCAATAAAATAACTAAGCTTCAGAATCTGGAGGGTTTACACAACCTTACTGTTTTAAGCATTCAGGTATTCTCACACAAATTGCCTTTGACACCCGTCTGAGTGGTTAGAAGAATAACATTGAAGTATGTATATAGAAAAATGTAATAATAATTTTATGTATGTTTATTTACAGAGTAACCGGATTACTAAAATTGAGGGTCTACAGAACCTTGTCAGTCTGAGAGAGCTCTATCTGAGCCACAATGGCATTGAGGTCATTGAGGGCTTGGAAAACAATGTGAGTTTTATAAATTCTACAGCCTGTTTCTGAAAGGACTGAATGCCCATCATGTTCTTTGCTTACTGTGCAAACATGTACCACAAAATTTGTTCTGTACATTTAAACACTGTTTGTTTTCACTCACAGAAAAAGCTCACAACCCTGGACATTGCAGCCAATCGAGTAAAGAAAATCGAAAACATCAGCCATCTGACAGAACTGCAGGAGTTCTGGGTACGGATCATTTGTGATGTTTTATTATGCAACATTATTACAGAGTACCTAGAGCCTGACGAATACACCTTTTACACAAGATATCGTGACTTGACATAACAGGAAAGCACAGGTGTAACTAATAACAATAACAACATCTCTGTTCCATTCTCAGTAACAGCCAGCATGTACAATAAGCTGGAACTGGCTCACCTAAATAGAGTGCAGCCATCATTATTTTATCAATCACACCTGTGCTATGACATGTAAAATGCAACTTGAGGTGACAGTCCTTGAGAGACTTTACTTCTTCCCACAGTGCATCAGCAAAGACACCAGAGGCACATATCATAATGAGAAATTGAATGAAAATGACAAACCCAAAGGAAATCAAATATGCCTGTTTAAGAACTGCATTGTTATGTTGACTTTTAAATTCGACCACAAATTCAACCAAAATGCTTCGTGATGTCACACATAGGCCATGCCCTTGATTATTGATTTAAATAATAATATAATGAATATAATTTAAACAGGGGAGTTATATAAAAAAGAAAAATCACCTCTTGTCATGAATGGGGAAATTTGCCTTTAGAGAACAAAACCCTCCTTTGTACCAGGCTGTAAACATGTCCAATTCTGCTGTAAAGTTGAGCATTGTAATACGGGGCCTTATGGAGATTGACTCACTTCTGGAGCCAGCCTCAAGTGGCCGTTCAAGGAAGTGCAGTTTTAGTTACTTCTGCGTTGGCTGTTCGTGGAGCTCGCCGCTCGGTTCTTACGTCTACATTATAGTGTGTGTAGGGGGACAAAAAGTTCTAACTTATTATTTTGGATAAGCTTTGTTTTATTCATCTGCTTATTAATTCAACTCATTTTGTTACATTATCAATTATTAAATTTTACTTTATTAATTTAAAGTCTTATTAATTATTCTTATTGACGAAGTAAACTTAGTTATTGTTTAATGATCTCCACATCCTATGTTGCAAGGTTGTGATGTCCTCTTATTGGCTGTGTTGTTTTTCAATCTCTCTCCAGATGAACGATAATCAGATAGATAACTGGTCAGATCTTGATGAGTTGAAGAATGCCAAGTCTCTGGAGACGGTCTATCTTGAAAGAAACCCTCTACAGAAGGATCCACAGTACCGGCGAAAGATCATGCTGGCGCTGCCCAGTGTACGCCAGATCGACGCTACCTTCATCCGCTTCTAAACTGCAGTGTACAGTTCACCTGCCAACTTCAGTGTTCGTCCGCACCACCCTGCCTGCCCTACCCTCAAAACAAACTCCCTTTGGAAACACACTGGCCTCACTGAATCATATAGTCACTCCGTACACAGATATACATTCCAACATTAAACTCACCCATGGCTCACTCGACATACATGAATGCATGTATGCACTCATTCACACCTTGATTAATGCTATTGTATGGAAGCTTATTTATTTATTAAGCTGGATATGAACTGTGAATATGATTTTTCCTGAAAGTACCCTAGGCCCATTTCTTCACTTCTCCTCTGCACTTGGTTTTTCTTTCACTGTTTTGCATGTGGGACACAGTATGGAGACCTCTTCTTTCCTCCGTCACACAGTTCCCATCAGGAAAATGATTATTTATCACGTTGTTGAAGTTGCACTGCTATCACGTGTGAGGAAAGGCTGGCAATTGTTACTATTTGCGGGGGGATTGTTGTGAGTTTATTCTTTTTGGTTGGGCAGGTTGAGACTTCTCACAAGGTACACCGTGGGTGAAGAACAATTAAATATAAACTCTAAAGGGAAAGTCAATAATAAAA